CCAGACCCATACTCATCCACACCCACCCATACCCACACCCATCCACACCCTCAGTTGCACCATGACTATAGTACTTCATACAATAAAAATGGCCATTCGTACCACCACTATGGTACTTTGTATCACGAAAATGGTCACCTCTACCACAACTATGGTACTTTGTACCATGAAAAAAGCCAGTTACAACATGACTATAGTACTTTGTACCACGAAAATGGTCACTTGTGCCACAACTATGGTACTTTGTATCACGAAAATGGTCATTTGTACCATCAAAATGATCACTTGTACCACGACCATGGTACTTTGTACCATAAAAATGGTCATTAAAACCATAAAAATGGTCATTTGTACCAGGTGTTACAGACAGACACGGGTGAATTTAGGTTTTTAGATCCTATCCTTTCAGTCTAGGGAATATATAAAGGATTTCATAGGATGATATACATTTTTAAGAGCAATACGAACTAGAGGGTGTGGATGTAGGTGTGAGTATGGATGTGAGCCTTCTTTTCATTCACAGTCACACCCATACCCACACTCACACCCAGATCCACACTCACACTCATCCCCACCTCCACACTCACCCCCACACACCACACCCCACACCCATACCCACATCCACACCCACATCCAATGCATTAAAATCACTCTTAATTTTTCAATTGTGAAAAAAAAAGTCAACTGTCAATCGTTCATCTGAATTATGTTGCCAAAAAAAATATTGAATTTGATAAAAAAAAAAAGAAAAGTTCTTCACCTTTATTAGAAATAAGGAGCAGAAGTCTGTTTGTAAATTTGCTGGACTAAATAAAAATTAAGTCAATGTTCGCATATAACTTTCAATGTCAATTGTTCATTTTAATTTCCTCTGCTCTTTAATTCAAATGGAATGGCCGTCGAACCATTTGGAAATAATCCCATGGCATCATCTAACTTATAATCAAAGTCAATTTCGGTTCGATCATTATCTAATGCTATTAATTCATACATGTTCATATTGTCTTCTGATTTGTTTAAAATCTGTAGTGTTTCTTTAATTATGGTCATTATCGGTGTATCTTGACAGCATGGTAATTTGATAGTTTGATTGCAATACATGATCGAACAATACAGAGACGCTGTCGATTTCAATCGAAGACTAATTTCAGTCGCATTTTCATCAATAGTATCTTTTAAAGAAAGAGTGCTATCGGTTAATTCCGTGTCATCATCCATAGTTAAACAGTAATATTTGTTGTTCAAACAAAATAATTGACATGCAATCTCGCAAAGACGTGGAAGAGTAATCGAATCTTTACAATTAAATTGAATCGATTTATTTAATTCATTATTTTGTATAGTCACAGTAATTGGTAAATTTTCATCGATGATAGTAAATTGAATCGGTGATTCTGATTGAAAAGGTATTAATTGGATATTTTTTGATGGAACAAAATCATTTGAATACATAAGATATTTATCTAAAATATCATCTTGATTTTCTTTATCTATGTCATCTATAGTAGCAAAATTAGTAAATAGTTGGACTTTTTCATGTACGTTTTCATTGTTATCGAATTGTTCTGAAGCATTTGATTTCTTAATCGATGTAAGACAAGTTTCATTTTCTTTCACAAGAATAAATTTTGTTTTATTTAAGTTTGAAAGTATTTCATTAGAATTAATAATTCTTTTCGTGTCATTTGTAGCTAAATATTTGTAAACATCAATTGATTTTCCTGTTAAATTTAACAATTGTTCAATAGTTATATTTCTATTTGATAAAGGTATTTTAATTTGTTCCTTATCGTCATATTTTATTATTTGAACTGAGATTGATATTTGAAAATGAATTAGTTCATTATCAATAGTTGAATAAGTACTGATAGGTTTTTGAAGATCATCTTTTGTTAGAATAATTTCATTTGGTTCTTTCAAGATAAGAACACAATCATCAGAAGATACATCAGTTAAATTTAATTGTTTAAGAATATCTTCATTATTTAATACGGAAGAAATCTTCATTGAGTTTAATACGGAAATAGTTTGACTGTTTGTCTCAAAAGTTAAAATAACTTTATTCAAACTATTTCGATTGATAACATCGATTATTATGGATTCTGTTCGATCTGTTATCGATGAAAGAATTTGATTTTCATCAATGATTATTTTCTTTTCTCTCATGAAAAATGCATAATCATTAACTGAAGACTCATTTATATGTGAGAGCGTTTTTAACCAAAGATTTATTTGTTGCCATTTTGTTGTTGAGCAAAACAGATTTATAATTGGATTTTCATCTATAATTAAAGAAAATTAAAATATCAACCACTAATTTTTCAACTATTTTAGATTATTCGTAGTTGTCGAAGTCGGTCTTTTGTAATTAGATGAGACATTCGTTATAACATTCAACAGATTTTAGGGAACTCTTCACGGATCCATTCTCCTTTTCTGAATATTCATCTTTGGTGTGGAGTTATGCTTTGAAACGGTTTCGAAATCAAACAAGCTCAAAATTGCACACACCAAACTTTTAAGTTCATGAAAGAATAAAAGAAATACGGCGTTTACTGCGAGCTTCGCTAATACTAAAAGACAGGCTTTTTAAAATGTTAGCATTTTATTGAATGAGAAAAGTTGTCCTTCAGAGCAATGAGACGTTCGGTGCTATGTCTGATAATTATTTGTTAATAAAGAACTAAACAATAATAGGTGAACTCTGTCTCTAGTGTGGGAAAGACTATTTAAGTACTTCAGTTTTATGATAATTAATTAAATCGAAATCAACACAAAATGTATAGTTCTCTCCTAATAAATAAAATGATTTATTTTGACCTTGAAAATGTAGCATTTTTATAAAAGTTTACTGTGTGATTTAGGTACGACTGCCTCCCTAGAGCGAATGGCAATTTCGATTGAGTGAATATATATTCATTCACATGCATATTCATATAAGCGTTTGTATCCTTAACTTTGTATATTTTGATGTATATTACATGAAAATTCTTAGGAATAACAGAATCAAATCGATTTAACATTTCTTTTTGATTTACTCATCTCTAACCGAGTTTTAAAAAAATTATTTATCGATTCAGTTTAAATTTGGACACATCTGAACTGATACTATCTCCACTATGAGTTTTCACATTTCAACTCACAAAAGACAACACTAGCAAGCTGTTTTTCTCTTTAAATTACCTTTTTTATCTTGTAAAGCAAGTTCATATAATGTGTTGCCATTTAATGTTTCTTCGGTCATAAAAATCGAAATCGTCTTGCAATCTGGTTTGCAAAGATCATTAATGGTTCCATCATTAATACATTTACCATACTCATCAAAGAAACATAGTATAATATCTGTTGATAAAGATTTAAGTTGTTCATTATCAATAAAATGATGAATAATAGTTGAAACATTACATTTGGATGTTGTTAAATATTCTTTTATTTGTGTTCGAAAATGAATTTTAGTTTGAACTAAAAATTGTTTTTCAATGATATGATATTCTAAAATTGATGGATCTGCTAAAAGGTAATTATTCTTTGTAAAATCAAATAACATTTCATTTTTATCTACAACAACATACACATCTTTGCTATATTTTCTATCATTGAATAATTTCTCGAATTGTTGACAAATATTTTCTCTCTTCCATAGAGCCGATTTCGGTTCTCCATTCGGATGTATCATAGTATACTTTTGGGGTTTAGTTACAATCGCTGGTTCTATTGATGGCTCTTCTCGATATTTATGTATTTGTTGAGAAAGGCTTGATGATATACATGGAACTGCTTTGAAATTTAATATCATTAAAGATGTGTATTGAATGTTTTCACTTGGAAGATCATTTGAGTTGATTGCAGATTGATCACTATTAACTGAATTGTCTTCCTTTGTTAAATTAGAAGCTGAGTCATCTGTGTTGATCGCAGGAAGTACCCAATCGTTTGGCCCAATTATATCTGAGTTTTCGTTTGATAATTGTTGATTATATTGTGGATTTAAATATTGTTGAAAACGACTTGCTTGCTTCTCTTGTAGTTCATCAACATTAACACTTTCATCCCATAATTTCATTTCTCGTTCTTCGATGGTAAATTTTTGTTCTTGAAGTTTTGATCTTGTACGTATTAAGTGAATATAAACATCAACATAGTTTTCACATTTTATTTTATCGGGTATCCATGAAAGTATTGGATTTTCAATGGCTGAAAATTCACATATTTCTGTTAGTGATTGTGTAGACTGTTGTTGAAGGGTATCTTCAATATCTTTTAGTTCATTAAGAAACGTTGTAATTGTTTGTATTGTTGTTTGAATTTTATCAACATTATTATTATAGTCAATGTTAATAATATATTCCCATAGGTTTCGAGTAAGTTCATCGTTTAATTGAGAATCAATATGAATTCGAAGTAAAGGTGGTATATCTGTAAATAAATGTTGAAATCCACTAACTGATTCTCCATAAATTTCAATAACATGATTAATATAGCATAATTGAAAATCTTTTATTTCATATTGTTCCAATCGTCGAAGAATATCATTATCTTTATCGGTCATTCGAACAAACTCAAAAAGATAATTTGATGAAAAATCATTCTGATGAGTTTTTAATGTTAATGCTATTTGTCTTAGAAGTTTATAAGTATCATAAAGTTTGTCTAATAATATATCTTTTAAATAATTCCATTCATTTTCAAGTTGTTCATTACTTAATCGAAGTAAGTATCTTTCATCGAGATCTAAACTTTCATCATCTGTTGTTGTTTTGGTGCGATTTGTATGACATTGATATTTTTGAATAATATGACGATAATTAATTCGACAAAATAGAAGATATTTTCGAATAATCTGTGCTTGGATATAAATAAAATCAAAAAATAATCGAGAATCTGATGTAATGAAATATTGATCTTCGTTATTAATAAGACTTGCTTGAGATAACTGTGTAATCCATAAACAATCTGTGTCATTTAAATGAATAACGCCAGTATTATCATTTGCCACTTGTAATATCGAAACATTTTTTGATATCAATTCTTTGATTAAATTTCTTAAAGAACTAATAGTACGATTCTCATTTTTGTTCAGTTCATTTTCCATTAGATCTAATAAACTGTTGTGATAATCAACTAAAACACTAAAAACGAATCAAGATATTTATTTAATCACGAACTTTCTGTCGAGTATATTAGTTTCGGATATCGTTCTGATAAATCTCAATAGTATACAAGTTCTTGTTCTTTAAGTACTCAACATGAAAATCCTACTATATAGAGGTATTTGTTTGCCATAATTTTTAGAACGCAAATACTTTGCAACAAATAATTTTGTCAAAAGATAGAAAAAAAAACAAATTCATGAATATAGTCTGTTATTCTGATGAAAATTTTGTTATAAAACTCAACGCAATACAGTATTTTTTTGATTGAAAAGTTAAATAGTTTTATTCTTTGCATATTTACATATAGATTTGAAAAGATAAACGTTTAAATTATTTCGTGAACTAAAAATGTAGAATTGATTTTCTTTAATAAAATTTTCATCAGAAACATACTAATCTTAGTGCATATATAGGTACCATTCAGGGACATGGTAGATTCGTTACTTTCGGTTTTGGTTGTGAAAAATATTTCGTTAAATATCTTAGAACCTTAGATGAAATTTTCTTAGATTTCTCATAAATTTTTCATCAGACCCAAATGAAAAGGCTCTCATTCAATCATGTTAGTAATAAAGATAACCTCCAGCCATGTTGACTCATAAAAACTCAAATATTGTTTATTCAAGAATACCACGAATAGACTGAAATTATTCAAAATGTTAATGTAATTAGAGTTATAGTTTAGGATACATTTTCACTTTTACATTTTTTCAGCATTTCAGTCTAATAGATTCCTCAAACTAATCTCAAACATAGAAATTAGATGTTCCAAATTCATGTTTATTTCAAAGATGTTCTATACTGAAACACGAAGCTCGAAGTTCGGTGTTAGTTGAAAATTCTCTTTTTAGTTCTAATTGTTGGAAAATTGTTGAAGTTAGACATTTCGTAAACTAACATTGAAATTTGGAACCGTAGGTATTCTTCAAATCAACTGGATAATATCTAACATCGAAAGAAAGTTAATAATTTAATGATTGTTAAAGTAGCATTCATGTATAGACAAAGATAAAATATACTTTCAAACTGTATTATGATAAGATTATTTCAAGGTCTATTACGAGAAAATATTTTTGTCAAACGAATAATGAAAACTATATAAAGTATAGTTTCGTTTTTGTTTAATTAAATCACAGAAATAATTTGTCTTACTTTTAGAACACAGAATTGGCCCCAAAGAATACTGTCTCTGACTACAAGATATAAAGTTTATAAATGAATTTACCTGATTATACGCATGACAATATCGCCTTCATCATGATTTTCATTTGTAACTAAATAATTCACCGGCGTTTCCCATTCAGTTGTTGAAAAACGCTGCTTTTCATCACAAGCGCCTGGTTGAATTAAACCATCAGAGAATTTATGATAAAGATTAACAGCTTCGATTCCATTTTCAATAATTGATCGATGTGTTTTATTTTCATTTTGATGCTGTTGTTGATAAGAACTATTGTAATAAATTTGACCACGATCATATAGTTGTTGTAATGTTATGGTTAAAAATTCATTTCGTTCAATTAATTTGGCATAAGTTTGATGTAAAAGACAATAAAATTGACTAAGATCATATATTAATTTAGCTATTTTTAGAAATGGTAAAGAGGCTAGAGTATGTTGCAAAATTATATGAGATATTTCTGGATCTGTTAAACGATTTAATTCAATTTTGAAGTGTGTAAATTGAACGATAATGGGCATTTCGTCAATAAAATTTTGTAAATTCATTTGTATTTGTGATTGTAGATTCAATTGATTGATATACGCTTTATATTCACCAAGTTTATTATAAATGAAATAAAACACATTATCTTTATACTCTTGTTGAGCTTTCATTTCCTCATTCTTCTTTGTGTATACTGGTCTAATCCATGAATTTTCATTTTTTGTAAGAAATGCCATTTGTTCAAAACAACGTGTCAAGATAATACAAGCATCATTTTGATTTGAATTAGTTGTCAAAAAGTGAAATGTTGATAGTAATCTAGTGCAAACAAAATGACAAACTTTAGCTCGGGTACTTTCACCAGCAAGTTGATGAGTTGGTTCATCATCATCAATAGCTGATGGTGCCAGGATCGGTTCATACAAATTTTCAACAGATTCATCACATAATAAAAGATGCCATGCCTAACAGTGAAAAAAAAGTTATTTAGAGAAAACAATCAATTATCAAACTTTGAGAAAAACTCACCAATGCACCAAATGTCGAGAAGTAAGCAACATAAACGGATGGTACACTTAAACCATTAACATCTCCACCATGCGAGAATTGTAACAAATCGCCATTGTGCGAAATAATACAACCACAATCATAATGAACACCATGCCTTTGAATGCTGTCTCGTGCGGTTGAGCCAAACCCTAATGATAATGAAAAATTAATCATGAAAACAAAAGATTTAAATCGGTGAGAGCGATACGTTAACTTCATCTTAAAACTATATTAAATGCAGATATATATAGTGAATATGAATGAGCTGATTTGTGTTATATGAACTTAAACTCCCAGTAGTGCCACAAGAGAGCTCGGCTCTGCGTCCACCCTCCTGTGGCAAATGTAAAACTGGTACTGGTGAGGATATTAGACTGGTCGGTCTATTGGTTTGATGTTGGTTTATCACCCTGTTATCATTCCACAGATATTTACCAATATACTCGTCTGCTCTGAGTCCCCCGCCCTCTCATAGGTCTATCGATCGATGGATCTATTTGTGATGTAGTTGATGAACTACTAATTGACACAATACTAAACTAAAGTTGTATTTATATTAAAAAAAAGCTTGTTCGTACAGCCGTTTTAAGGTTAAAAAGTGGAATTCACATATTTTAGCAGGAAGTAGAATGTCCAGTAATATTTAAAGCGAGTTGTGATGGTCCGTAATTAGAAGAGAAGAGTCATCAAAACTTCACCATAAAACTCACATTTGTGATGTATCGTCAAAAATTTATGTATGATCCATAAAAGCAATGGAACCAGACCAATACTACTGATAACGCAACAATCATTTTATGTCATACTTCAAAGAATACTATCGATGAAAATATTATCCTCATTAATGTACACTGTATGACAAGATTTCATTTTTAGACACTCTCTGTCGACTATAGATCGATGCATCTCACTAAGTTCGCATTTACTAATAAACGATCTATAAACACTGTTGCATAAACTGACAATAGATCGGTCAAACCGCTACATTTACGGTCTTATCTGAAACGTTCATATCAATATCGATTTTATCTCTGCCTTACAGCATTGCAACTAATTCATATGGATCAAAATAAAATATATAACAACTTGATATATGATTGAAGCAGTTTAAAGATTTATCTAGTTACGGAGAATTTATTCTAAACATAAAAAATAAATGTACGAATTCTTTCATAACGAACAGAGCTACCAATCGAATCTGTTGGCTACAGATATTTCAAACTAGACTAGATGAAAATGAGACAAAGAATGATCATTCTAGAAGCTTTGATGTGTGTACCAAGCAATGAATATTTAAAAACTCGAAGATAGGATAGAAATTCGTAATGAATGAATAGCTTTCATGCTATTGACACTAACATGAGGTTATTACATATCACATATATCATTCAAATCAAGCATGTTGTTCTATACTTTGATATTCAATTCAAAGAGTTGTTTATCTTTTTTATCTATTGTATTGTTTTCTTCGAAAATAAATTAGTAAAGATTATGCGAGATTTTCTTATATTACAATAGAAACAGTATAAAAAAATTATGAAATTTATTTCGGACAAAATTGTAAAACAAATAGTTCCTTATTACTAATATAATTCCATCGTTCAATTAAGTTTGATTTAAAAACAAATATATGGGACTATTCTGTAAGCTAACTATATCGAATTGTAAAGGTTTTCAAGAGCAGTTTTTCAATTACTTAGTATTCGACTACTATTATTAAGAATCTAATTCATTCTAAGTTGAATATTATTACGAAAATGAATTGACTTTACTAACCAAATGTATTTTCTAATTTTGACGGTTGAAACATAAATGTCCAAAGAAAAGAGTTTTCACCACCTAACAAGATCATAGCCATAAGATTGACAAGCATATGACGTATAGATAAATCGAATTCATCATTACAATCAAGTTTGAACAGACCATTAAGGAAATTCTTATCAGCAATATTATCATCTTTGGGATATCCAATCATAAATTCTTCAGGTCTTATAAAAATACGAAATAATCGTAATTCTTCAGATGATAATTGTAAAGTATTCTGAATCATTTCTAATAGAGTATTTATAGATGATAATTGATCACTACAATAATAATCATAATAAATAATTAATAATAACATTACTTTAATTTCCTTTAGCTGTAATTGAACTGGATCAGCATTGATTTTTGACTGAATCCAATCAGATAAAGCATTCCATGGGTTTTGTTCAGTATTACTTTCAACACAAATATCAATAATATTTCTCAAATCTTCATATGGTTGATGAAGTTCGGGAAATATTGATGAATCATTTTTTGATGATAATGTAAATTGAATTTGATGGCATAACTGTAAATATTTATTTGTTCTTTGTGTTTGTTTTAGTTCGAGTAATCGATATAAATGTGTTGCCCATTGATTATTCAAACGTTTAATATCGTTTGAATTTAATAAATTTAAAAGATAATTCCATGATCTTTTTAATATGATTGTAGACAGAAAAAGTTGAAGATAATTATTAAATTTTGTTGCTTGGTCATCCGTTAACAAGAATTCTTGTATGGTAGTTGACACAATAGGATCAAAATCATTTAATTCATTATGATTCAAGTTAATGTCACATAGTAACAAAGCAAGCATTGTTATTCGAAGATAATCTATTAATTGTTTGAAAACATTTTCCCCTATTGATTTCAAAGATTGGTTTTGAATTCTTGGTAATGTTAATAGCATTCCTTTATTAATTAGAATTGTTGTAATCTCCTCATTAGCTATCTGACGTCTAAGATGAAAGAAATATAAATCAAATAATACTTGTCTTATTTCTATATCATTGTCATCATCAGAAAATGTTGATCGATGGTAAGGTATTTTATAATTTTCAATCATATTAATATTAGATACACATTCAACTAAATGTGGAATCATTTTAAGCCTATCCCATATATCGAAATTTTGTTTACTACGATATTCAATTTTAAGAAGTATGTTAATTAATTCATCGAATAAAAATTGCTTCATTACAACAGAGAATGAGCAAGTTGATGTATCTATATATTTCAATAGAAAATAAATATCTTGTTTAGCTGGTTGTTTTATTGATTTTAAGATAATTATTGTCCATTGTTGAACATCAATAAATAATGTTGAATTAATAATATTTTTGCCTTTTAAATATTGATCAATGATATCTGTCATTTTTGGTAATAACCTTAAACAAACAGATGATTGACTGATATTTGTTTCTGTGAGTAAAATCGATATTAATTTATGTGGTTCAGTTATTGTATCATTTAAAAGTATCAAATAAGCTAAACTCATAAACTCAATCCGACTTTTTATTTCAGTTAATTGAAAAGCACGTAATACTTTTTCTGATGGATAATATTTTGAAATAAATGTATAAGCATATATCCATGTTTCAGAATTTTCATTATTTGTACATAATTTATTTAGAGTTTCCCATAAATAATTGAAAATCAAGTAGAAAAATATTTCACGTAAATGAGAACGAGTTATAGCTTCTTCATTAAATAAATGATCATATGACAGAATTGAAGAACTAATACGATTAATTATTCGAAAGGCTGAATACATTGATATAAGATCATTCTGTTCATATTCAAATGATGTATAAACATGTGCAAGAAGCCATACATCTTTATTAGGATAACTGTCTAATGACTGACGATCATTATCATCGATAAGTAATAACCAGCGTGATACAAATTCAACTGCTTGTTGACATTTAATAGGATCATTGTCAAAACTTTTTTCGACGATACTACAAAATGTTCGAATAAGATCAGTTGAATAGGATTGAACAATAGGTTGACAAATTGCATCAGTTAGTATATTATCATTTAAAATAACATCGATTAATTTGCTTCTATATTGTTCAAATTTATATTGAGTCATCTCACCCTCATTTTCATTGTTATTATCTGTAGTTGTTATTGGTAGAGCATCATAGTAATCAAGTCGTAGACTATCTTCTTTTTCTACAGTAAACAAAGAAATATTTGAAGAACAAAACTACTATATTTCTCATGGAACAATAAGACCTAAAGGGCACAGATAATTTTTTTGTATATATGAATTTATTATATTTATTTGTCTATTGTTGAACGCCAGAGCATGACTATCCTATCCAGTTCTCATGAAAATGACTATTGCTCGGAGTGTCGTATATGAATATGGATAAGGTAGGATTTATTTAACGTTATACTTTAGTCTATTTTAAAGTTACGCCAAAACTACTCTTCCAAAATTTTCACTTGGTTCAAGTCTACTATCGATCTGTATGATGATTTGATACTCAGAATCTGGTCTACCTTAAGCTATGTGAGCATACACTTCAGATAGTTGAGTGTTTTCCGAAGTTTAAGTATAAGTATAGTATAGTGTCGTTTTTGTGTACTCAAAAAGTAAGTACACTCTATAATCAGTCAGTGTATCCGTCCGACCGTTTACACGATAACTCTTAGAAGGAGAGTCTGATCGTGATGAAATTTTCTACACAGTTTTGTCTCAACAATATCTCGGTCGAGTTTGACGATGAGAATGATTGACCGAGCCGTTGCTGAGTTATTGCAAAAACAGTCATTATTCCCTATGCTTTCCTATGAGCAGATCGACCTATCCGCGTTCTCGTAAAACACTTTTCCTATCATAGTCGAATAAAATCTAAATTATAATATAACATTCGATAGAGAATTTTACGAGCTACAAAATGGTATATAAAACATAGAGAAACAAGAAGGCTAACTCACCTATTGCAAAGATAATTAAACGGAAATCGGTTCTGTTTTTGTCCACGCTCTAATTGATCCACAGTCAGAGCTCTACTTTTCAATTGCAGAGATGATACTTCAAGGTTTTCTGCGGCGAAGAACTCAAATCTGTACTCCACTTGCCTCGAAATCCCATTGGCTGAGCAGTAACCAATAGAAATCAAGTGTTTATAGAAAAGGTTTGTCAGGATAATTTTGATGTCCACACATTCTAGGATGAATCATCTGTCTCATTCACTTTTTGAAGTACACATAACTCTCGAATTTAAATCCGAGGTTTCCGCATTTATTTTTTCTTTATAATCGAATATAGTTACTTATTCTGAAGTATACATTTTAGATTTGTTTGCATGCTCAATAGTTCTCCTAAGCAAAATTTAGGAAATAAGTATCGCATATGAGTATCTTTCATACACATATATATGTCACAGGAGAGCTTAAAATTCAGGAAATTTAAACGTGTCCTAGGAAAAGAGAAGTTTTTTTTCTCCTAGAACAACGTCCAATTTCAATTTTAGCTCAATATTTTTTTAGGAAAAATTGAAGTTTTAGTTTCTTCTAGAAGAAATTAAGATTGTAATTGTTCCTATTAAAGAATTTAAAATTTTCCTCAATATGTAGCATCAACTTGACAGTTAAATTTTTCCTGTGGGAAAATTTCAAATACCTTTCACGTCCAATATAATCAATAGAATGACAGAATGAAATAAAAATGTACACTTAAATGAACGCCGCGTATACGATTTAAGTAGATATTCAAGTGTCATGCTCTTATTCTCATGAAGAAATTTTCTAAACTACTTGATGAATATACTAAAGGGTTTAAATTACAAATTTTAAGATAACTTTTCTATAAAATAGTCATTATAGGATGATGTAATATTGGTCCTTCGAGATCGTTGGGCACATTCCTGGGTCAAGTTTTGGATGAATAAAAATTTGGAATTAATAAAAATTGGTGACTTAGTTAGTTTAAAAGTCGATAAATTAGACAGAAAAATATTTACACCTAACGTGCTATCATGTAAGGTCATATCAGTTCAATCAGCATCAAACGCTACGTACACTTATCAATTATGTGCAACAACAATAATCTCCTCACGGTTACAATTAAAAGATCTATTAAATTTACTCAACTGTAATTTTTGTGACCTACGTGGCATCAACTCAACAACTTTACTGACAATGATATTGATTGTAGACTGTAAGGCTTATGTGGCTGCAGAACCGATTACTCCTACTGAAGCATATAATTGTAATAGCATTTGTTCACCAAAGAAATGTCATCACTCAGCAGCACAAATGCAGTGTGGTACTAAATGTCATTTATCAAAAATGAAACCATATTCAAATGTCTACTTGAATTTTGTATTTTTGAAATATAAAATTAATAAAGTTGATACTATATATTGAGGAAAATTTAAAATTCTCCAATAGAAAAAAATTAAAATCTTAATTTTTTCTAGAAGAAACTAAAACTCCAACTTTTATCAGAAAATATTCATTTAAAATCAAAATTTTACAGTCTTCCAGGAGAAAGTAAAATTTTAATTTTTCCTAGGAAAACTTTTAAATTTCCTGAATTTTAATGTCTCCTGTGACTTATATTAAATGAAATAAAACATTTTTTTTGAAAATTCTAACCTTGATGTTTAGTTAATGCTCTAGCAAGTGTTTCTTTGATATCATCAGCATGTTTTTTAACACGTTGATGCAATAAATAATATAATGGCGTGTATGGTATACAAGAATAATGAGTAGTAAGTTGAAATATTCCTTGTGTTGTTGGTGCAGCAAATATATCTTTATTATCATCAATAGAGAATGATTGATAATCAATTAAATTTAATAATGAACAATAGATGTCATAATGAGTTGATAATTTTGGTAGTGTTTCTAATCCATAATCACTAACAATAAATTTAAAAATATTTGAAACAAAATTTGTAAAAGAATTTCGTGTTTGTGAATGAATTGATTCAATAAGACCATCAAAACGTTTGCTACATAGAATATCTTTCGAAATTTGATAAATTAAATTATAAATATTTTTCGAAGAATTTTCTTTTCTTAATAAATATTTATGATAAATATTAACAATATGTTTTTGTAATTGTATTGATTGTTGAAGAATTTGTTTAAGACATTTAACACGACGTATTGTATTTGTTTGTCGTTGATAAAATTCATAAGCAATTCTATTTGTGAACATATTTTCTGAGAGTTCAGGTAGAAGAAATTGAACTTGAGAACAAAAATCCCATAGTGAATCGTCAAAGAGAACATTCAAATCACAAAGAACGTTATCATGATTTTCTGATTGTTGATCATCGAGAGATGATGAAGATATAATTCGTATCATTTTTTGAAGATGAAATGCACTACCTGGTATGCATGTGTCGAAGAAATAAAATTCCCAGTCATGTAGAAATATTGATGGAAAACATGATTGATGATATAAGTCTTGAGTTGATGAATGAATAAGCATAAGAAAATATTTTGGCTTTGTACAATCAGTAGTATTGCAAGAAGATTCAGTTTTATCAATTAACTGTCGAACAAAGGGAATATGTGAACGCTGTTGTCCATTTCGGCCATCAATTATAATCATTAAAACATTTTTATTAGTATCGTTGCAATAACTATTAAATACTTCATGTAATTCAACTGAATTTTCAATTGTGTTCTAAATAAAATAATAAAAAACTATTAGTGTGTTCCTTGAGGGATGGACATGCAAAATACGCTGATACTATTGCTATCAATCACGCATCTATTATTTTAATCGATTTATTTATGGGCTATCATTAAGATTCTTTAAGTAATCAAATCGAATAAGAATCTGATTGAATTTTATGCAACTTTGTGATAGCCAAAGAATTCTCGTTGGAATTTCGATTGCACGAACCGATATATGGGTACATTTTGTTAGCGTCCAACAGTATCCTACTGTCAAAATTCGACGAAAAGCACTATAGAACCCTAACTGTAGTTTATTATTAATATTAGGTATTAACCCTTTCATAAGCGGTGGTACAAATATGTACCACTTTTTTGTTTGCGATTGCAGAACTATAATAAATTAGAATCAATGACTCTAATAGGGAGAATGATGATATTGCAGTCACTTCGTTGCTTGTTGTATATGGCACATTGTTGTTGCATCATTTGCTTGATACCAAACAAGTGTATGAGCGTGGGAGGGGTGTGTGTGAATCTTTATTCATACTCGAGAACATCCAAACCCTCGTGTATTATAATCTAGATTACGATTTATGTGACTACATCATCAGTATCGGCAGAACTTAGCTATCCAGGTCGAACCCACCCCATCGGATCCGATAAGAGTTCGTCAAAAGTTGTCGGATGTCGGAAAGTGTCGGAAGTAGCCAGGATCCTGCTGGAACTTTGAAAATCCGACACTTTCCAACATCCGACAACTTCCTGTCGGAATCCTATACCAAGGATTCCGGCGAATTCCCATCGGATCCGATAAAATCCGATCATTTTTTTCGATAGGATCCGACTGTCGGATTGTTCGTCCTGGGTATAACAAAATTCGCCTGTAAAAGGGTTAGGTTGTACTTAAATTATTGAAGTTCCCTTATCTAATCTAATACAAGCTCCGGAATTCGTATTCCCATAGAATATTATCAACCGGTCAGATTCACATGCAATACTGGATTCATTTATCTGGATGCATGAATTTTGTTTTATTGTTCGTTCTCATAATTATCAGTTAAATAATGTTTTATTTTAAATGTATATATATTTTCTGACTGTGAAATGATAAAAACTATTTTATGATGCATGTGGTATCACTTGTTATTTTCAAACAAGTCAGTTAAACATATGCGAATAGTCATTAGTTCCAATTAGAAATTTAAAACGATTTTAATTAATTTTTACTTTTTGAAACATTACCTCTAACGTTAGAAACTATTTATTTGAATACATTTTGTTTTCTTCAAAAACAGATATAAAGATTTATAGAAAATTTTCAATTTTTTTGATGACGTTTGTTGCCATTTGAAATACAAATACATAAGAGTTCAAAAGATAATTATTAAATTAACTTTTCATTTAAGTCGACAAGAAAAACAGATCATGAATGTTATAACTTAGTCTTATTCATTTCGAGTAAAGTAAAAACATATGTGGAGGAAGAAAAGTCAATGATAAATCAATTCTTCTCATTTTGAGAAATATGATTTATAGAAGGTGAATAACTTACTAAATTTACGATTTCAATTTGTTTATTATAATTAGACACGTCATCATCTTCATTCTTAGTAGTAAATAATTCATTTTTTGACTGTCGGTTTAAACTAACAACATAGGATGACGTTCGTGTAAATATGATCACTTTCGTTGTTGTATGCACAGAGCTTTCTATCGTTTGATGTTCTGTATTATCTGATGATGATATTCTATCATTATCAATATTAATTAATGGTTTCGAAAGTAATTGTTGAATGAAAATTCCTAAATTGAAATGTTCTTGCTGTTGAAAATATAAATCACATAACCATTGTTCAACTTTTTCTTCAAATGCTGGTAATTTTACTATGATTGATTCGGGTGAAACAAGTTGAATTAGTTTTGCTAATACTAATCGAACGAAACATTGTTGAATATTAGTAGAATTTTGTTGAATAAATGATTTTAGTATAAAAGTTAATTGTGTATAATGTTGATTTATATTCGATAAAGAATGTTCATTGTTTTCATTGATTATTATTAATGGTAGAAGACATGAATAGAGAGTACTTTCATTCATACCATAAAAATATTGTCGTCCGAAATGTTCAATAAAGGATAAAACTTTCTCTTCAACATTTCTTAAAATAGCTTGTTCGTTACCAGGAAGTTTATATAAATGAATACGATAGAAATCCTTAACACTTAATGAATATTTTTGAAAACGACTTAGAAAAGGTGCTGGAATATCTTCAAATTCACTTCGTTTTACATGAACAATACATTGAAAATCTTCATGAACAGCAACATCAATTGTTTTTGGACCAATAGAAACTTTTGAAAATATCTTTCTCGTATCACCAGTTGCCATTATTGAAAAATTTTGATTAAAAACATCATAGAGCGAACCATGTATTCGACTTGTATTTACCATTAAAATTGTTCGTCCAGCTTCCATACATAATTTAATTGTTGATAATACTTCAACATTTCGTAACTCATTATTTATGTCGTCCGAGAAATCTGACATTCGAAAGATTGATGTTCGGGCAGGATCAGAATCAAGAATACCTGTTTGTAATAAAAGATTTATAGCACTTTCATCTTCTGATTCATCAATAATTAATTTATAACGACCATAAAGGCGTCGACGTTTTGAATCAAGTTTCATCGAATCTCGAATAATAGTTGGAATATCACGATAAATACTTCTCTGTCCGGCTTCTATCGGTAAAGAAAAATTCGGCGATTCCTTTTGAACAGATTTAAAAAATATGTCGACTAATTTTCGAAATTCTTCTCTTTTTATTCCATTAAAGTTGTCTTCGAGAGCACGTATTAAGCTATTCGGCTTAATAATGCCGATGCTTGCATCTCCATCGTTTGTTATTGTTGTTAATAATTCAAAACGTAATTCTCTTAGCATATAAATAAAATCTCGATCATGAAAAATTTTCGGAATAGTTTCATCTGCAAGTACTCGACGATATCCTTTGCAAAGACCATCAACAATTTTATCGAGATTTTTGTTAATATTTTGTTGCTCATATTCTCTTTGTAAACCAAGACAACCATATGCCAATAGCTTTTGATCATTTTCTGATGGTAAAGATCGATATATACAAATCATTCGATTGGTATTCGCAGGATCAAATGATGTATTAGCTATAGCCACGAAAGCTACTTTACACTCATCCAAATAAGGATGTAATACTTTCAAGACCATCTTTTTCTCATCTGGCAATGAAGCTTCATCCAAAAAAACAACCTAAAAATATTTTTAATTATAGTGCAATATACTTATATATAAATATTGATGAAAATCGCTCTGATATTCGGATTCGACTGGATTTTATGACAATTCGAATGAAATTAAGAGAATCTTACTGAAATTAAGATTGAGAGTCGACATGTGAATCTCTTACGTTGCAGTCCGATGAAATTCTACTATTGTGAGCGAATGGATTCTATGACTGATCTGTGTTAGACTTGTTCAGTGTCAACTGGAGACGAAGTGTTTATTAAACTTTATACTAGTTGTTTGATAGATGCGAAACACTGGTTCCTCTTTATGAACAATATTTGGAAGTTCTTAGTCGAAGATCTAAATCAATGTATTATTTATCGCATTTGTTTTAACCAATTGGCTTAACGAGTAGTGAATAAAATCGTTAGAATAAAGTTACCTATAAACTGGGGAAAAGGTGCCGTACCGAAACACTTTGTTTTAAAAATTAAAACCTTTTTTAGGTTTAGTGCTATGTACAAAACTATTTTTTAGTCCACGAAACTCTCTTTGGTTTAGTACTCATATCATTGTTTTCAATGTACAATCTACTATAAATTTGAAAAGAAATTGTTATCAAATCTCATTACAGATGTTTATGACCAAAAGAACTTGGCCTCGCATATCACAAGACCAAATTCTTAAATATATTGAGACCTGGAATTGTAAATTGGCACGAGCTTATTGGTGAAGATGAATGAGATTTCCAAATAGGAAATCATCTATTTATGAGTCAGAGTAACACTCATAAAATTAAGAATAGGATGTACAAATCCAGTTCCAGTGAAATTCCAACTAAGAATCAAATATAGATTTGCGTATCTCTGGTTACAGATAGTTGCAAGTAAATAATTGTGTCCGTATTCTGCTTTCTCACTGCTTATTGTGACATCTCAAATTTTGTTTTTTGAAACAATTTTAAAAAGGTGAATTCTATTGCAAATTCATCTACAGACTAATGGATTCTTCAACACAATATTGAATGCCTAGACTTTGAAACTTAACGTTAGATGTGTGTGTATGTGTGGATGTGTGTGGATGTGAATTAAGATAAGATCAATACCCACACCCATACCCATATCCACACACCCTCAAGTTAATGGTGACCCTTAACGATATTCCAGAGATTGATTTTGTAACTAGTCTCAATCAAACTTTTACTTCTGTCTGCATTCCCCACGGTAATGGCCATAACTTTTTTACTATTAACGTAGGGGAGTACGGAGATAAGTTAAAAAATGACTTTACAGACGTTTCAAACGTTGTGATGAAAATATTAACAATGCGCACGACCTATATTTTATATAAAATATCAAAGAAATTTCATTCACTGACTGAGCCATGGCTCTGAAAGGGTTATAAATATTTCTATCAATGAATAATTTGATAATAACACTTACACATCGTGTATCTATTCGATTTATTTTATATTGTTGTTCACGTTTGATAGCTCGTTCAAATACAGATGCAATATCTTCAGAACGACTATATTTTGATCCAAGACAGAAAAATGGATCAACAGCCGGTAAACGTTTACAAAATTCTTTTGTTGATAATTGAGAACCTTGAAGATTTTGTAAAACAATTTGAAATGAAAGTGTTTTTGATTGACCTAAAAATTAAACAATGTTCGTAGAATCCAAAAACGATTTGTAGGAAAAAGCTTACCTGGTGCACCAATTATACATAATGGTGTTTGAGTAACAATACTAACAACGATTGCAAAGATATGTTCACGAATCTATAAATAATAAGATAAGAACAAAGATATTTAAAAATTTAGTAAAATCAATAATACAGAACTTACAGCCTGATTTACAGCTACTCCATTTGGAATAGTAAAATTATCTGTATTAACAAACTCTTCAAGTTCCTTTTGAACAGTTTCAACAAAGTCGGGTATAAAGTTGGAAAGGAGTTTTCCAAATTCTTCACGTGGTGGTGCACTTGTATCATTTCTTAGTTTATTATCTTGTTCGGTTGGAAGTCGAAAATAATATGTCAATGCTAATGATAAAGCAATACATGGTTTGGAATCTAGATCTTCATCGCTATTGCTTTTATCATACTTCATCTTCCAAAAGAAGTCAATAAGATTAAAACATCTTTGAATCTCTCTTTGTGATACAGAATTTCGACCTAAATAAAAATAACAATGTGTACTAGTCCAAAGAACATCAATCTGATTTTCTAATTTCTTATAAATTTTAATTGTGTCTTCCTATTTGACAGCGTAATTAATCTCGGATCTTAGAATGAAGAACATTGATTGTCACTAAGAGTGCATTAGAATCATTTTTTATATCAATAAAGATGGGAAATTTTTTTCATGAAAATCCTAAAAGCCAGTCAAACGTTTACGTCACTTAATAATAGTTTTTTTCGCTCTATCTGATATGGATATCATAGATATCAAAATTAAGAGAAAAGTTTTGATTTTTGAGTCTTTTGTTAAAAATTATCTTTTCTTCACCAAATCCTACTAATATTCCGGGCTTTTTTTCTTAGTCTTGATACTTATGATACCCATATCAGTTAGATAGGAAAAATAGTTGGTTATAATTGACATAAAAATTTGATTGGTTTTGAAATTTTTTATGAAGAAAATTTATCATCTTTATGCACAAGAAATGGTTTTTGTACATCGTATTCTCGGTTATTTTTTAAAAAACTGTAGTTTCGATCATTTTTCAAATGGTTCTAATCAACATAAAAAAAGGAATACCGAGTTTTTCTTCACAAAATCGTTGTGCTTCAAGAATACATTGAGTAAGTTGGTTTTGTGCATATTTAATTAATGGTAATTTTTTAGCTGGATCGCTTGTTGAAGTAACAGTAAGTTTTTCAATTTTTTGTTTTATATAATCTTCTAATGTATTTGAATTTAAGATTCCATAAGATACTTTAAGATTATCTAGCGATTGTGGTAATTCATGGACAATATAATTATGACGATGAATCTGAAAACCATCTTTAGAATGATTCTGAGATTCTTCATTAGGATCTCGTGCTGGATTGATAGCTGCAGTAAAGAAAATGTTTTTTGGTAAACTAATTCCATGTAATGTCCCATCCATAAACATTTCTTTAAATAAACCAAGACAAGAAGCTGTATTAACTTCATCAAAAAATACGACTAATTCAATATTAGGCATTTGCTCAGCTAATTGACAAATAGGAAACATGAAATCTTTGATTTGTTCTTCAGTTACACCAGGATGCAAAAGAAGACGATAAAATAGTGGTTTAATAAGAGTATGACTTATGAATTCATTGAAAATTTCTATCGATTTTTCAACTGTTGGTACTGTTGATTCTTCTAATAATTTTAATAATTGAGAACTGGCTTCAATCAATGGATAACTGATTAAATGTGATGTGACAAAATTATGTAATTCAACAAGAACTTTTTTAGCAATATCAGGATCATTTTCATGTAAAATAGTAATGATTGTTTTCCAAATACATCGTAAAATATCATCATTATATTCCAACTCTTGTAAAGAATTTGTCACTTCTGCTAACAACTGATAATTCACTTCATCATCATCTAGTAGAATAAGATCTATATTACCTTCATTTTTATTTTCTGACCCGTGTAACTTCGGTTCTATTTGTTGAAGAAATAAACTTAATAAATTATTTCGCTCTTCTAGAATGCCTTTCTTTTTTTGTTTATTTTCGAAAAATTCGAAAAAATATTTTAATAACCATAGATTTGTACGTTCAACAGTTTTCGGTGCAAGCCTATTGTCTAGAGTACCGTGAGTTACATTGCCATTAAGTAATAAAGAGTAAAACTTAAGAAGAAATGTTTTTCCAACACCTGTTTCACCTTCAATAATAAGAGCTAATTTTGTTAATTTTCTTTCATGAATATGAAAAAGTTTATAAGTAAAATTTTCTGTTAGAATAAAATTTGTGTCAATCATTATTGTTTCGAATAAATTATAAGAGATATTCATTAACCATGATAAACATATGATAAAATAATTTTTATTGTCGTATTCTTTAACTTTTGATGGATCACCAGATGTGAAAAGAGATCTTAATTCTTGAGGAACTTTCTCCCAGCCATTATGTAATACATGTAATGCAAATTCGGGATCATAAACAAGATAAATACGAGGATAATTATTTGAAAGAAAGCTTATTTGGGTAAGATCTTTTGCTTCATTTATCATTTGTGTCATAGTAATTGATCCGAGATGATTAATAGTCATATTGTAGCGATAAAAAAATCCAGTAAAAAATTGAATACGACGATATAGAAATTTCGTAAAGGAAAGTTCAACAATTTTATTTCTTGGTAATTCTGATGCGTATTTTTCAATACATTTGTAAATGCAAGAACGACAGTCATCATGATCTGTTAATAGATCAAAATCCACAGGTTGGTCATCATTAACATGATTATATGTTAACTGACGATCAATCGTTCCAGTTTCATAAGCTTTAAGAAATCTTGCAACAACTTCTTCTTCTTCACTAATAAATAACTGATAATTAACATCCGTTACTTCTTCTAAATTATTTGATGACATTATTGAAAGTATTGGTAATATATGATTAAAGCTATTTTTAACCGGTAAATTACATTTGTCTATATAAGGAATTTCAAAAATAAATTTCCATGGTTTTGTTATCAGTGGTGAAAATGTCAGTCCACCACTCAGATCATTTAATGAACCGCATATAAATAGTGAAAAAAGTGCATGATTCAATTGTTGAAAACGTGCATGAATAGAAATATTAAAATATACTGATGGTTGATTATTAAATGATTTCGATTCCAACGAGAGAAACGTAGTAATTAACGACGATAAATTTAAATTATCATTAATACTTACACATGATATATTATGATCCTTATATTTAGTTTTGATACGATGGGTTTTTCCTATAAATTACACAACAAGAAGAAATAAAAATGATGACAGACTTGTGATGAAAACAAAAGCATTTAACAATATGTACCACATGGTTAAAATATTTGGACTTGAAAAGAACTATCGTTAAATAAAAACGATTAGATAACTCGTCTTTTCATAATTCTAGAAATATGATCAATATTCAAGTATTTCAAATGGTTGGACTAGAAATATTTTTAAGGAACACGATGAGAAAGCACACTGATGACATTTATAAGTTGTCTAACTTACATTTAAATTTCTATTCTACTCAATTCATATCAATATCCATATACAACTACAACAATATCTAAAGTCAAAATAAAATTATAAACTCATATAAACTTCAAATTTTTGTGTTTTCGATACTTAGATGAAGTTTATAGCCATGAAGATATGACAGTGGGTTTTCAAACATTGATTTTAGTTTTTCCATTGCATTTCGATTTACAAAAAACTGTTGCGAACTTTAGTGGAATTTTATCTAATACAAATTTTTAATTCTTCCTTCTTTTTGCACTTATTTGTCAATGATAGAGATATAGAAAATCAATGGTTTGTGATCTAGATAGCGTCGAGTCTCACGAAAAAAAAATTTTTTTGAACGGTATTGATTACAATCAAAGTTACTATAATATTTTTCTATAAGAGATAAGTGAGATCTATTTTTTCTCTGCTTGCGACTTCTACTCCAGCAAATATTTCCTATTGGTCTCAGTGATTGTTTTCATGATTTTACTTTTCTCTTGTCCGGACGAGTCCTAAAGGAACTAACGGTATCAGATCTAGAATTAATTCTTTGATCTACAACTTCTTTTTAAGCGATATCAGTTATAGTCAAATTTAATTTAGTCTTTTTTGGTGCAAGTAATCAGAATGAAGCCTTTTTTGCGATTTTACTCTTGAATCTGAGAAAGTTTTAGTTTCGTTTTGGCTTTGCATATCTCAATCATGAACATATATCCGAGCGCTAGGAACAAAGAATATGTATTTGAATTGCGTACCAATGCCAGCCTTGCCATATACAATTTGAATTTGTGGTAGTGAAATAGAATTATTTCGTAGTAATGTCACAAAAGATGAATAATTTAGAGCTGAATTTCGATGTTGCGGTCGTATATAAAATGATCGTAAACCCTTTCTCAACGATATTGATTCTCTTGAAAAATAATAAATTGTTCCATGTCGTTCAGATTGTTTGTTTAATAAATCTTGTTCATTTAATAATAATTCTCGAAGTCGATGATGCATTTTATCCATATCGATGACAACAAATGTCAAAGAAGGAAATGTTCGTACACGTGAGAAAAATAATTGAATGTCGTCTTCAGTTGAAACAGAACACCAGAGTATTTGATATGAAGCTGGTAATCGACCATTAAAAATATTTAAAAGAATTGAACATGTATCCATATCAAAGTCATTCTCAATTTCGAAATTATTCTGTGTTCGTTCTAGCGAATTTAATGTAACGAGATATTGTTGATTTTCAGTATTTGTTGAATTATCTGTTAGTAGTTCTCTTCCTTTTTTAAATAAATCTTCCAAAAAGAAGCATATTTTTCTTAAATTTTCTCGTTGCAAATCTTCGTTTTTCGAATTATTATATTCTATTTTATATTTGTTATAAAGATTAATAATATTATTTTGAGATAAGTCACAATCTTTGATTCTCAACGATTGTAAATAATGAATTAAACAAAGAATAGTTAAGTTAAATTGTTCTTCTTTTTTATTGATAAGATCTTTTAATGAAAATAATTTTTCTAAAAAATTTCGTTGAACTTGATTTTCTGTTGTTGATGTTGTCAATAAAATAAACATAATCATAATTTGATGATTTGAAAATAATTTTAATAATGGAATTTGACTTCGAGAACTTTCTAAATCTTGTATCCATATGTTATAATCAGCTTCAAATTTAGTAAATTTTGCTTGAAAATATTTCGTTCGATCTCTAATTTCTTCTCTAAGTTTTTGTTCACTACCTTCTTCATTATTTTTCAAGTCAGCCAATATTTTATGAACTGTACCTAAAACGAAAGTATGAAAACTACAATATGGATTATTATTATTATCTATCTACAATTTAACCTGATCGATCATAAATTTCATAATTATATTCTTTCAATTGAAAATTTGGATGACCAGCTTTTTCAAGTTTTAACAGAATTAAATAAATTTTTTCAATAGTTTCTAATAGCTTTAATTGTTCTTCCAGTAATATCTTTTTGTCGATCATATATTGTTTTAAATCGACATTACAAAATGTTAATTGACGTTTATGATCATCAATATCAGCCATTGATAATGTAAACTTTAGTTTTTCTTTTTGTTGTTTGTTTTGATCTTCTTCATCAAGATCGCTTGAATCTGAGTTAGTGAATTCTGATGATGATGCATCAATTGAATATCCGACTTCGAAATAAGATGATTCATTCATCAAATTTCGTAGACGAATTAGCACTGTACCCGTCCTATATAAACGTTCCATTGTGATAAGAGCATTGTCTAACATTGTCGTTGTTTCTGCTGATAACCACATGGTTATAATCTGTATATTATCATTGACAACTACAGAAAATATATTATATTAGTAAGATGGTTTTCGCTTTTTGTTTCATGTATCGGGAACAATGTAGTTATCTAGTACTTAACTATGTGATTCTATATTAAACAGTCTCGGTTTTTAGTTTTTATGATTTGTTGAAAAGAGTGTTATCTTTATTAAACACTGCTAAACTCAATCCTGTTGATTGTTCGAGAAACTCTGAAAGAATCCCTTAGAATCCTGAATCCGAAGGGTCTTATCTAGTTTTATTCAGGATCCTGTTGTAAATCCTAAGAATTTCTGTCTCCAGGATTTCTTCAAGTTTGTGCTCAGATATTTTTCTAAGTTGAGCGTGTGGTTGAGGATATACTGAATATCAATGTTCACATCCACATCCTCAATCAATAACGTCTTGAACAAAATTTGGTCCCAACCTACAAAGATTCTATCAGGATACTCGATAGCATTTTCAAGGAAACTTAGTCAAATCTTGAAAGAAGTACTCAGAAATCTTTTTTGTTTTTTGATTGCGAATTACTGAAATCCTAGCAGCATTTTACAATTTCTTGGTTACACACTTCTTCCAAAAGTCATCAATTTTCTGGCTCAATCTTGGTTTGAAAAACAATGATAAACCTCTCAGGATCCTATGAAAGCTTGTATTAAATCTTGACAGGATCCTAAAACTCCGTGGCCGTGTACTTTTTCCAGGAATTATCGATTTATTGACGTAATTCCGATCCAACTGCATTTATTAAATTGACAGAATCCTTGCTAATTTTGTTTCGAATGCTAACGAAATTCTTAGAAACTGTAGCTGCACGCTTCCTTCCGGGCTAATCCATTTTCTGGGTTAATTTTAACCCAAAAGCGATAGTGGAATTGTTAGAACCTTTGAAAATCTTGTTTGGAATCCTGTTAAGATCCTAAAATTCTGTAGCTACACATTTCTTTCAGGATTTTCTCGCTTCCTCCGAAAAAAAGCGAGCGAATTCTTGCAGGGTTCCGATCATATTTTTCAAGGATCTAGCGCTGAAACATCAAAGATTTTCCCTCGGAACTTCAAAAATATACTAATTGTCTGTAATCATTCTAATCCTTCTTAAGATCGCTCTCTACATTTTGTAAATAGTTTGCTCAACTAGACGAAAGAATCTAATATCACCTTTATTTGGTAAAAAGGTAGAGAAAAGGTACGAACGTCAAATGAAAGATAAGATATTTGAGAATGAACAGAATTAAATATAAAGTAGCGCAGGAACCATCCTTTTTTAAAGAAAGAAATCGTGCAATAGAAACATCAAATTGGTTTACTCATTTATTAAAGACAAAAACCGTGAACGATATTTTTCAGCATTAAAAGGTTTTTGCCGTACACATGTAGAAATATAATAGAAAACTCTGTAAACCTAAATGTATGATACTCACATAAAGATGGTCGCATAAAAGATTACCTGTAAAGAATCTATCATTCTTTTTTCCAAAGGTGTATAACTTGAAATTTTAATTCAGTTGAAATCAAAACGTTTTAACTTTCAACGGCTTTCATGGCACGCATACTTGTTGAAAATTGAAAACTTGAAATATCGATTAAATGCAACTGTCAACTTTTACATATATGTTTGATTCAGAGTGATATTTCATTGTAGAATGTTTTAGCATCAATTAGTAATTATCATTCTTGTTGCATTTCAAGGATTCATTATCCTATTGGAGGAAATTTTAGTTGAAAATTTTGGGTTTTGATTTTTATCGTTTTTTCATCTATGAAAATTACATTGAGAATAACACTTAAAATAAAATTATTTATAACTCTATGCTAGCTGAGTATCTATGTACGAGCTTAAAATATATATCTATTTTCTTAGAAAGTAGATAATTAGATTTTTAACAATAAAAAAGCCTTTCATTTACTTTTTACATGTTCCAAGGAACTTTCATCAATATTTGATAATTTTGCTAGATTATCTACAAATTCTTCTAAATTTTCAACTTGGCGAACAAATGGTTCACATAAAGCATAACTAATAATCAATGAATTAAGAATCATATTACTGCGTTCCTGTAATTGAAATTGTGTTGTTAAATTATCTCGTAATTCTAGAAATCGACGTAAGCCTTCAGTAGAATATAAATCAAATTTTTTCATCGTTTGAATAACATGAGAACATTCAGAAATCGTTTTAATCAATTGTAAATGATGATTGGTCAACTTTTGAAAACGCTGATAAAGATCTTTGTAAGTTTCTGAGATTTGTTTTAGAGAATAGTTTTCATTTATAGTCATTTCTTGTAAATTATCAATTGATTCGTCATTTTCATTATTTTTTAAAATAATATCGAACTTTTTTACACAATCAATTATAACATTTATATGACTGTAATATTGATAAGTTCGTAACCATTCACAAACTTGTTCAATATCCTGGTCGTTTTGACCTTGTCTTGTGTTAATTGTTGTTTCTCGTTTATCGTTTACGATTGAACGATTCGCAAACAATATCTTAACTTCATCTCGAACATTAATATTTTTATCGTGAAAAACCGTTTTAAGACAATTCATGTCTCTTAAAGTAATATTACCATTTAAAAGTCTATCGATAAAAGAGAAGACCTTATCGATTAAATCACTTAAATCAGTATCTTTAATATTGTCAATCGACTGTTCGAAGTACTGCTGACGAAGCATAGAAAAGATTCCACAAATAGATGACACGTGGAAAAAAGCATTGTTTTTATTTGATACCAAATTGTTCGTGAAGCAAGTCCTTTTTGATTGTCAATTGTAATAATTAAATCTCCACGTTGCTGTGTTGTAAATATACCACGTAAAACTCGCTTATCAAGAGGAACTTTATCTTTGGAAAACAATATGTGCCTGTTAATAGGAGATGTAGTACTTTGATACTCTATACTGATGTTGCATTCAAGTTTTTCACAGGCAAGTGACCAGTGAACAACTCGACGAGCAGTGATCGGATGCAGATGTTCATGAATAGTAGTCGCTTTGACTATGAATGTATTATTTGTGTGACATCGTTTAAGCTCGTCAATATAAGACTTCCATTGGTTTTGATCAGTTAAAGTACCAGAATCAATGTTTTCAAATGATTCCGTACAATTAAACAGATGACAGAGACGATGAAGGTTCTTAAAAGATTTTAGTAGATTAATAATATCTTGAATGATTTCTTTTATTTTAATCACAGTAATCATTGAATCAGTTTTCACTGTATGAATATCACCAAGTAATTGTTCAGCACGTTGTAATTTTCGGGTTTTAAGCCATTCAGTAATATGCTGAAAAATATCGACAAATTTGTCAAACCATTTTAACCATATGTTAACTTGTTGTATAAAATTACAGAAGAATTCTTCTTTTCGGTCAGTCGCAGGTATATCAATATCATTTGGCTTTTCTATAGAGACAATACTTTGGATCTGTGATGTTGTAACAGGAAATTTGTAACGTTGTCTATCTGACATGGTAAGCATGTCTTTCAAATCGCAAAATGGAAGAAAATAAATAATGTTGGATGACGACAGCAGTCTATGATATGTTGTACGTGCACCTGTAATTGAAAATAAGTTTATTATCATAATATATTGTATTTGTTAGGAAAGGATTTCAATATTCTGAAATTTTATTTCTTTTTTTCTGAGTTATCTTTAAATAATTTTATTTTGTCAGAAATACGAACCTGTAGAACTAAACTGCTCGAGTTAATGATGCGTGAAATCAGGATCTGAACAGAAACGGAATCTTTACCACTTGTTCACGAATGCATTAGACTCTCTTTAGCTACGGTCCACGTCAATGAATATGAAGTAGTCAAGACTTAATATGATTAGAAGCATACGATCTTAGCTCCATAAATCTCTAGTTGTAAAAGAAATACAATTGCAAAAAATCAGAGATCCTCGGAGATTTTATATAAATGAAGGGTGTGGCTGTGGGTGGTGTGTGGGTGTGGGTGGGCGTGGGCGTGGGTGTGGCTGTGGGTGTGGGTGAGTGTAGGTGTGTCTGTGGGTGGGCGTGGGTGGGCGTGGGTGTGGCTGTGGGTGAGTGTAGGTGTGTCTGTGGGTGGGCGTGGGTGTGGCTGCGGGTGTGGGTGAGTGTAGGTGTGTCTGTGGGTGTGCGTGTGGTGTAGGCTGATGTGCTCTGATTGTTTAATCCATACACACACCCACACCCAAATTACTTTCAAAAAAAACTCATTAAAGAAGAAACTTAATGTTCTAAGAGAGTCCTCCTATAGTCTTTATTAACCAATTCAGCAATGTACTTATAATGTAGGACAAGGTAGTAATTCATTTTAGACTGAATCTTTTCTTCCCTAGCGCATTAATCAACCGTTACTGGGATATGGAGCATTAAATTCATGGTTATTTATACTGGTCTTCTTTCAAATTGCTGAGTATTAGAAACTGTTGATAAGAAATTTTGAGAAAAGCCGAACTTACTATTTAGTGATAAAATATCTTTAATCGATTGATTTACGTTTTGAATGAAATCATCCACTTGTTTTTCATCAATTAAATAATGATTGTCTTGTTTAGCACGTAGAATATAACTAAGAATTGATCCGATATTCCGAGCAAACAAAACAGATTTTGCATGCTTGGAAATAACAATATCAAATATATTCTTAACGAAAATAATTGTTAAAATGTCCTTGGGATTGTAAATATCATGCTTGACATTGATCATCCATTCATTTAGTTGTGCAACTGTTTCGTTCCATCTATCAGCTTCTAATTTCGATAGACTCAAGTTAGCAAGTCTTGACCAGATATGTATTGACCAGCGATTATTTCGATGAATATCGCTGAGACTTTGATAATCTGATTGTTTTAGCATTAACCAATCTTGAGGAATATGAAGAATATAGTCATTCAACCATTCATCTTCTATTATATTAGCAGGATTATTGTTCTCACATAAATCTTCAATATCATTCAATTTCTGAAATAAATTTTTGAGTTGGTTAACTCTTGTCTTCTCATATTTATCTGGTTTGAATAAATGTTGAATAACCAATAAACTAGATAGTTGTTTAAGATTATGAGTTGACGATAAATCGACAGTCATTCTTAGAAATTCTTTTAGATCAGATATCCCGAATCGATAAGAGTACTTTTCATCGTTAAGCTGTTTTTTGAGGAATGCGTGAAGAACTGTTTCAACTATTCTATTAAAAGCCCGATAATTCTCATCCTCCAATTTTTCTGAAGATTTCTTTGCCTTGTGAAGATACACTTTACAGGCTGGAATTTCAATATTTTGAAGTTTCTCTGATAAAACTGAGCTAAGATATTTTTCCATAACTTCATTGATATCACCAGTTGTACTTAACAATATGAATATATTCCACATACTCTCGACGTATATATGTGATGCAAACATCGATAAATATTCGTTAAATAAATCATCGTGTTTACTTAACATTCGGAATAGTTGGCATATATGTGTTGGTCGGTACGAAGATTTTTTAACACCTTCACAAAATATGTTCAGAAACAGTTTATAAAAATCTTTAAAATCTAACTCTAAGTCTTTTAGACAGTTATGAATAACATCAAACGGTGACACGTCATTGCTCTTTGATATTTCCACATTGCGCGCAAGATGAATGAATGCTGGTATGTCGAGTGGATATTGTTCGAATACTGGTTTATATTTCACGTACGTCAAAACAACGTCTTCAAATAACAAGTTCCAATCACGTACCTTCTGTAAAACATTCACCCATTGCGGACGATTTTGATTATTGATCATTAAAGATGATTCGAATGATAATTTACAAAGAGCGAAGAATGTATGTAATTTTTCTACTTTCTTTATTTCTGTAATTGTGGCAAGATGTTGATGAATATCGATTCGTTTGATCAGATCGCTGTTTGTTGTACAAACACTTGGCTCGGATCCGCTTGTTGACTTGAATACAATTCCCGATTGTTCGAGTAGTTTTTCCTGAAATTTCCCCAGTTCTATGTCATATCGCTTCTTGTAAAAGTTGTATTCGACAACTCGACGATAAATATAAAAGAATGTATAAATTTGCTTTGACAATCTGTCTAAATGTTCGGGCGATGTTAAACTTGTTATTGAGCAGTGAATAATAAATTCAAGATCTGCTAAGAAGTTCTTGTTCTCATGAACTCGGTTATAGTCATCATAAATTTCAAACCTACAAAGAACCTTATCAAAAAAAACTTGTCCTTCGCTATCATCATCAAACGTTTTTCCAATATTATGTGCTAATTCTGATATTTCTTTCTCTGAATTCCACAAACCGGAAAAAAATTTATATATTCTTGCCATGAAAATAACTGCCCTTGAATAAAAATCTATAAGAGAAAACATAAAACATATACTTGATTTTTTTCCAAAGACCATGCAAAAAATACAGAAAAGGAAACCAAAAGTGAATTTTTTCGTTAAAAGCAATTATTTGATTCTCACTTTTCTTTCGAAAGAAATAAGTATGCTTGATAAAATTTGATTAATGCAAACTAATAGCTTTTATGATCTGAAATAAGGTAAAATTTGGTGTGAACTTACGGTTAAATAAAATTCATTTTTTCTGTGAATCAAAGAGCAAGCAAATGCAGAATAATAAAAAAGAAACCTGTAATGAACATAATACCATAAAGTGATAATTCAATGTAAGGGAACTTAGCAGGCGATTCGAGTTTTTCGCAAAACGATTCGCCCCATTGAGTGAGCCAGATGCAGCTTGACGAGCTCGATCGATTGGTATATGTTTTACCCTGATAAGAATAAAATTTTAACCATCAGAAGCTCTGCAAGATCTATAGCAAGGCTTTCGGGCGGGATTTCCTTTGACGATTCGCTCCACCATCCGAGTCACATCTGAATTTTAGACCATTCGATGCAGCTTGACGAGCTCTATCGATTGGTACATATTTCGCTTTGATAAGTCTACAAATTTGGTCTTCCAAAACGCTGAAATACCTGTAGCAAGGTTTTCGGGCAGATTTCCTCTGACGATTCCCTCCACGGACTGAGCCAAGTTTGAAAGTTACCTCAATCGATGCAGCTTGATGAGCTCTATCTATTGGTATATGTTTCACCCTGATAAGAATAAAATTCTAGTCATCAGAGTCTCTGCAAGATCTATAGCAAAATTTTGGGCCGGGATTTCTTATGATGATTCGCTCCAAGGTCTGAGCCACCTTTGAAAGTTACCTCATTCGATGCAGCTTGACGAGCTCTATCCATTGGTATATATCTCACTTTGATAAATGTACAAATTCGGTCTTCAAAAACGCTGAAATACCTGTAGCAAGGTTTTCGAGCGAATTTCCTCTAAGGATTCGCTCTACGGGCTGAGCCGCCTTTGAAAGTTACCTCATTCGATGCAGCTTGACAAGCTCTATCGATTGGTATATGTTTCACCCTGATAACAATAAAATTGTAGTCATCAAGACCTCTGGAAGATGTGTAGCAAGACTTCGGGCCGGAGTTCCTTTGACGATTCAGTCGACGAAATGAGCCACATCTGAATCTTAGCTCATTCGATGCAGCTTCACGAGCTCTATCGTTCGGTATATGCTTTAATCGAGATCAACACAACATTTCGGCCATTAAGGTTTCTCAAAAGCTTCTAAACGTAATTCGCATCGTGTTACCTTCGACCATACATTCCAGCACTTGACCCATTAATCAAAAGGAGTAAAATTTTATTGTTATGAAAATGAAACAAATACAATCAACAGAGCTCGTCAAGCTGCATCCAATGGGCTAAGATTCCGATGTGGGTCATTTCGTAGAGTGAATCGTCAGAGGAACTCCGGCCCGAAAGCCTTGCTACAGATCTTCCAGGATTTTGATGAGTAAAATTTCACACTTATGTAAGTAAAATATATATCAATCGATAGAGCTCCTGAAGCTGCATTGAATGGGCTAAAACTCAGGTGTGGCTCAGTTCGTGCAGCGAATCGTCTGAGGAAATCCGTGTCCCAAACTGTGCTACAGACCTTCCAGAGGTCCTGATGACTAAAATTTTAGTGTCATGAAAGTGAAACATATATCAATGGATAGAGGTCCTCAAGCTGCATCTAATGAGCTACGATTTAGATGTGGCTCATATCGTGGAGCGAATCGTCAAAAGAAATTCGAGCCTAAAACCTTGCTACAGATCTTCTACGGGTTTCGATTACTAAAATTTCACTATTATCAAGGTGAAATATATACCAATCCATAGAGCGTGTCATGCTGCATCGAATGAGCTAAGATTCAGATGTGACTCATTTCGTGGAGTGAATCGTCATAAGAAATCCCGGCCCAAAACTTTGCTATAGATCTTGCAGAGGTTCTGATGGTTAAAATTTTATTCTTATAAGTGTGAAACATATACCAATCGATAGAGCTCATCAAGCTGTATCGATTGAGGTAACTTTCAAACTTGGCTCAGACTGTGGAGCGAATCATCCATGGAAATCCCGCCTGAAAGCCTTGTTACAGATCTTTCAGAAGCCCTGATGACTAGAATTTTATTCTTATCAAGGTGAAACATACACTAATCGATAGAGGTCGTCAAGTTGCATTGAATGAGGTAACTTTCAAAGGTAGCTCAGACCGTGGAGCGAATCGTCAGAGGAAACCCCGCCCGAAAACCTTGCTACAGTTATTTTAGTGTTTTTGATGACCAAGTTTGTACACTTATCAAACTGAAACATATAGCAATCGGTAGACCTCATCGAGCTGCATCGAATGTAGTGATCGTTAAGGGTGGCTCAGTTGGTGGAGCGAATCGTCAGAGGAAATCCGGCCCGAAAGTCTTGATACAGATCTTCCAGAAGCCTTGATGACTAGAATTTTATTCTTATCAAGGTGAAACATACACTAATCGATAGAGCTCGTCAAGCTGCATCGAATGAGGTAACTTTCAAAGGCGGCTCAGACCTTGGAGCGAATCGTCAGAGGATAAACTTTTTTTTCGATTTTTTTCTATGGGAAAAAATCAAAGTCTTTGTTTTTATTTCGGCTGCTAAGCTTTCAGGAAAAAACTGAATATACCATTCGATAGAGCTCGTCGAGCTGCATCTGGCTCACTGTATCTCTTGTGTGACTCACTCAATGGGGCGAATCGTTTTGCGGAAAACTCGAATCGGCTGCCAGCTTCCCTTACATATAATTCAATGTTTTTATCAAATTGAACATACACCTACAGATCAGAGAGAAAAAATATGAGGGTTGATATTGTGTACAAATAGGTGGTATAATAGAAAAAAAACAAACACAACGAAATAAGGATGTGAGTTGGTATGCATGAGGGTGTATGCAGATATAGAATCGTCTATCAGTAAATTGACCCTAGTTCCTTCAAGATCTTAGGAAAATCGGATTTGCTATACACCATTCGACATGTTTCGAAAAGCTGCACAATATGATGTATTCAGTTTTTCATGTCCAAATAGATTACCCTACCAAATAGAATTCTTTAAATATACGACTCAGAACTATTTGTGAACCTAAAATATATTAAATACACAAATATATCAGTGAAAAGTATGTTTTTTCCTTGAGATTAATCACTTGATTTTTACTTTTTGTTCCATAAGAAATAATTACGTTTAACATTGGTCGACAGATGGAAACTGATAATTTATGAAGTATGAAACAAAAAATTAATAAAAATAATGTGAATACACAGCTGCACAATTTTTATGCTCTCTTTTAAATAAAAAGAACAAAAAAAACAAAGTGTATTGCAATAACGTCATTTTTTATTCTATTTATAACATCAACTGCGTCTATTTTGTTTTATTAAAATAGCTTCTCGGCTCTCTTTATTTTTTCTAGTTTCATTAGAAATCAGAACGAGTAACCATGAAAGTCAATACATTTTCAACTTAAGATTGCAAAAGGAAGAAAGAAAGAAAGAAAGAAAGCAAGAAAAATGCTAAGCAAGAGTTGCGAGTCTTTTTCTATCGTCAAAGCCCTTTTAAAAATAAGGGTGGGTGTGGGTGTGGGTGGTGGGTGTGGGTATTAGCACAAGGGAATAACACACACCCACACCCACACCCCACACTTCAGAAGTTCTTAGAAGATGAAGGTATCAACTGGAATAAAATGCGTACTCTACATTCACACCTCATCGGAAAATTTATACTAAAGAAGGATATAAGACTTTCTCAGCTGTTGGTGTAGTTGTTGGAGTCATCTTCATCGTAGTTGCAGTTGTCGTATTTGTCATTCGTGGTAAAATAACAGTTCTTAGAATTATAATCATTGAAATCATTAATAAGCCTAGAACAACACTAAGTATCATACACAATCGTCATTTATAACTACCGACCAGCATTCTAAAGCATATTTATAATTGTATTATATATCTCAGCTAATGCAATCAACATACTGTATAGTTGTTGGTGACATATCAGTCTGTTGATTAATTTCTACTGCCATTAATTCCAAATCGTGTACTAATAATATTGGAATTGACAATAAATTACCGTTTTGTTAATCTTTGACATTCAGCTGCTCACTTTTATGAATAACGACACTAAGCGCAGGAGAAAGAAAATCGTTGATAATTTATTTTTTTTTGTATCATTTTTTTTTCACAAAACCGTCTGTTACTATTAAGAACATTCTATAAGAAATCTTTGCAATATCCCACAATATCAATCCGACTCAGTTTGACATGTATGGGAAAGACTGTTTTGACTTATCTGAATACATTGAATTCTATATCACTTCAAGATAAACAGTTATCAAGTATTTTCCATAATCATTTCATCAATCTTTACTTAATCTAGATTAGACAAAACATTGACAACCTATCTAATTTTGGTAGTATTACGACAATTATTTATAAAGTCTCGACGAATGAAAAGTGAAATAGCCAAAGTTTTGTAGGGTTGAATACTCTGCTTATTTCGTGATGTTGCATTGCCGTCATCATCGATTAAAACAAAAATAATATTAATTGCAACATATGGAGCAGTATATATCGAGAACTAAATAAGATTTAAAGAGAAACAGAATTATATCTCTGTTGCTTATACGATATTTTCATGGATAAAGTTCAGATATGTGACTAAACGATGATTTTGTTTTCTGAACAAATCATTGGGGACGAGAATGTTCTCTTTCCGCATAGTTCTCACATGCAGATAACAGAATCGAAGAACTTAAACATAACTAGCGCATGATATCTATTTGTTGACAATATGAAACTTTTTCAAAAAATATTATTTATGTAAAAAAAAACGTACAGGTTCAAATATTGATAGTTATTCAACGTTTGCTGAAAATAATAAACTTCATATGACATGAATTTGTTCCTGGTTTAGTTCTTGATTATTATGTTGCAGCAACAGCTATGGATACGAAAGATTATAATTATAAAAATTATGTTATTCAAGATGCATATCGAGGTGTAGATAATAATACAATTAAAATAAAATAAAATAATCTATCTTGTCATATTATACAATCATTATTAAAAAAAGAAAATCTGAGAGAAAATTCACGTAATATTTCATCGAAAAAACGAATATATTTTAATAATTAAAAATTATTTATCATCTGTTTTGTAAATGGAATGCATTCCACTATTTTTGAAATAAATCAAGAATGGAAAGAGCTAAAGAGCCGGCGACATCTTTTTCTTTCATATCATACAAGACGAAAACATTTTAAAATGAACTGTTTTTTTCATGAAACATCGGATAAATGTACAAAATTGACTTGTTGCTTCGATGCCTATCGGCTTTAATTTATTGAGGGTAAAGATGGATTCAAAAATTTTCTTACGTAGATATTAATCAAGCAAAACAACACACTTCACGTATTCGTCGATTCTTTTTTTCTATTCTGTGAATAAAACGATGTTTTTTTCTCGTATACAAGAAGGAAGAAAAGGGTAATTATATTGTTCTGAAGGTTTTTTCTTTGGTGACAAATATGTCTTTACATACATCAAGGATACAAAAATAAATGTTTAATCACAACAAGCCAATGTTTGTCGCTTTATAATACTGTACTCATTCAATCTGTTCTACGTTATTAGTCGTATTAAAAAACGAGTATTTTCTTTCAATACAATTCGGTGATGTCAGCACAATCTAGTAAGTATCAATGTATAAAGCAAAATTTTAATTAATATTTCTTGTAAAGATATTTATTGCAATGGTTGTAATACAGACGAATTTGCATATGTTCGTTATAAATGTGAAATATGTCCAAATTATAATTTATGCTTGACATGTTATAATAATAGAAAAGAAACATTAAATCATTTATCATCACATACAATGTTACGAATTGAATTACCATCAACAATTAATCATGATTCATTTGTAAAGCAATATTCAGATCAAATGAATCGTCTTGAAGAAACATATTTATCACAATATTTGTCAAATTTATCTGTTAATAATAATCAACCAAAATCAATTGAGACACTTGATAAATTATCAGCTGATAGATTGTATGAATATTTAATCCGACTTGATCCAAATTTAAAATCATTAGCAGAAAAATTAAAAAATCAACGTGTTTCTGGTCTTGATTTAATAAATTTTGATGAAAATGATTATAAAAAGTTTGATATTACATATGGAGAAAAGAAAAAACTTCAACTTTTAATTGAACTAAAACAATTAAATTCGAATGTATCTGATTCAACACAAATACAAAATGAAATTATTCAGTTAAAATCAGTGATAAAAAAACAAGAAGAAGAAATTCAAGAAAAAACTAATTCTATTCAACAACTTGAAGATATTTTAGAAAAACAAGAACAACAAACACAACTTCAAGATGCAATTATTCAACAATTACAAGAAGCAATTGAAAAACAAAAACAAGAAATGGATATGTTAATGGAATTAGTAGAACAACAACGGTCTCTTATTTTAGCTTCACAAAAATCTTAGAAATGATTCGAATTACATTAATCAGAATAAATAATTAAAATATATAAACAACATTTAGAAGAAATCATAATATTTTATCATTAATTTAAAATTCTTCATCTTCAATTCTTATTTTTTCTGCTTTTTGTCTTATATAAATCTAAAAAAAAGAAATTATTTTAAAAGAATTTTCGTCTGAAATTTCCCAGAAATAACATGACCAATCGGAATTCGAGTCGTATCCATTAATTCGCGACTCAGGTCGAGAAATCAGATGGTAAGATCAGACACAGATCCGTATACGTTCGTGTCAGATCTTATTTCAATATCTTGCACGATCAGACATGATCATATAAAAAATCTGACGCAAAATCGTCGTCTCAGAAATCTTAGACTAGTTCGTATACTAAGTGACGTATAAGATCAACCAATAAGATCTTATATGATCATACAAGATCGTACTGTCTGTTTTTTCCCTAAATACTTAGTCTTTTACGTCATTTGATACACTCTAAACTTTCTCTGCCCGCAGCAGCGTACATGATCTCTGAGCTAAGTAGCAGTGAAACAGATCCGGTTCTTCATGCAAAGCTAACTTCGTTTTTCATTTTCGAGATGATGTCCGGATGATAACGAGAAGTAAAAAATCGTCCTCGCGTCAATCTTCAGTTTTGATGACAAAATAATCATAAAGAAACAATAAAAACTTGTTTTACAAGAGAATACTGCCAAAGACGCAACTTTTCCTAAAGGAACAAAATGTCTTTGTCAAGAAACCAAATAATTTCTTATTGAAGGGAGTTACGTTTTTCGAGTGACAAGTGCAAAATGATATTGGTTGTCTTAGATCTTCAGCCGCCGAATGCGGCTAGACTTTGAATAGTTATTTCAAAAGCAGAAGATGAATGCGAAGATGAAAGAAAGCTTAATTGCAGAAATTAAATGAAAGAATGAAACTTTAATCCTGATTAGAGTCGAAATGATGGAAAGAATTACCGATTAGAAAAAGAATATCTCAAATCATCCGATTCGTGAAATTAAGTTTTTCTTCAATAATGCAAGAAAACTGAGCTTTAAAAAATGCTCCTCAAAAGTATCTTCCGGGTTCCTCATTTCTTGTTGTGCTGTGAATGAACTAGAGAGTGATTCAAAGGTTTTGACTCTTTTCTTTATTGTGACGTTCTGTATACTACACTCATGTATTTCTAGTTTACTGGAATATATAATTTTATAGAGAAAGATCGGAACTACCGCATGAAAATTCAAATTGCTTAGACTTCATGAAAAGTTATTGTCGTTTTCTTGCCAGTGAAAGAGCATTTTTATCTTACATTTTTGGAATACAAAAATATTCTTGTCATGTGTGAAGGATTCAAGGCTGATTAAACTGTTGTTTTCAATGTATTTTAATAGATATTTTTTAAATGATTAGATAGAATTCAATAAGTTCCAAAAGAATATGCATGTCAGCAAATATTCGTACACATGTTTTGATAAAAAAATCTTGAAAACCAGAAAATCTAACGTAAATCTTGCATATTTTGCGTTGGAAACAACATGCTCAGTTTTCAATGACATCAAGAGGTTTGATTATTTTCTATTAAGGACGCTAGATAAAACTTATTTCAGGTGAGATCTCTAATCTTCCTGTACAAAACTGTTCAATTCAATCAACCAACTAGATATGTATCTGGCGTAGATAACGTCAATTTACAAAGTGGAGTCGAAGTATTGGATCATCCTTCATATAACCGCTGTTGAAGATACCAAAGTTGGTGATAACTATTTTTAATTATACGAAGCAAAACTATTGTAGATGGGACTCAAGCCTTCGTACGGGAGGGGGGGGGGCTGAGCGCCCTCTAGCCTCTATCTGGTTACGCCCCTAATCATAACCTTAAGGGCTACGGCAGAAACCGAATGTTCAACTGCTAGCTAGAGAACCAACAGAGAACCGCTGTTAATATTGCATGACTGCAACAATTAGAACAGAAGTCACGAACAGTTTCGACCTTGCTAAAGGGTCTCATCAGGTGGCATAGTTCATATTCTATTAATACCGGCTCTCTCTTATCTTATATAAGGGTCGAGCATTCGGTTTTCTATTACAGTCTTAGAGCTGTGATGGAATTGAATTGAAGCCATCTGATGAGACCCTTTAGCAGGGCCGAAAACAGTCGTGGCTGCTATTCATTTACTGAAACAAAGGTATAAATCACACGAACGAAGAAGCTTGTTGAAACGTCGATTTAGACTATAAAAGGCTTCGTAGAGTGTCAATGCATCGAGATATTCAAAAATCTCAATCAATAATTCATTACTTAACGATTCCAATCGACTACGAGTCACTTTTGGCATTGCACAAGAGTAAATACACGATGCACAGTGTTGCTCGTATTATCTATTTTTAATCATGACAGAGAATTATATCAGTATTGCGTAATGCACATTACAGAATGCAAAACGAACACCTTCCTTTTAACGAGTCATCTACCTCCACGTGTCTTACTGAAATTTCGAGTTTAGCTTCTTTTCGTTCTCTTCCTTCTCAGGTTCGGTAGAATAATGACCTGAACGAATGCGAAATGCGCGAACAAGGGAGGGTGGGTGTGGGTGGGAGTGTGGGGTGTGCGTGTGGGTGAGTGGGTGTGAGTGTGGGTGGGTGTGGGTGCGGATGTGGGGTTTGGTGTGGGTTTGAGTGTTGGAGTTGGTGTCTTTTTCTACACCCACACCCACACCCACATCCCACCCCACACCCACACCCACACACCCCGCACCCTAAATGTAAAGGAATCATTTATTTTTTAAAAATAAATGGAAAATAAAGGAATAAATGACACTTTTTACGATGACAGATAATGTAATTGGAAGAGCACTAGAATCATAAAATAAATCTGCAGAGAGATTATTACGATTTTAAAATGTAAATTTGATTTAAAATACGTTTCCTAAGATGAAATTCAAAAATAACAGAAATAAAAACTTTATTTCTGATTTTTAGGGTACTAAGAAAGAGGAAAAGCTTCATGTAACATTCTAATGTGATCTAAAGGCTTTCTATGTATTCAGACATCTTTGTGAAGCTTCATTTCAGAATCATAGAATGTCTCCATCGGATCGATTATCACTCAATATTCATATTTCTAAATAGAATTCCTTCACAATTTTGAATCTCACTTCTAATTATCCATATCCTTGCCCAATATACTCTGTATTTTGCTATCTTCTGTAAAAAAAGTTGGTCAATAGAAGTTGTAGAACGATTATTTGCAAATCAGTATCAAATAGATGGTTTTATTTTCACGAGGAGCAATTCTTTTTTTTTCCAGTTACGAGAAAATATCCTAATGATACACACACAGACGTAAGAAAGACGCAAAATAAAGAAATGAAAAAAAAAAGCTAGAAAATAACACATACCTGAGCTGTAATGAACATAGTTTTTTGTATGATTTAATTCCAAGTGTATCTACATATAAAAAAGCTTATTTTGGCAGGCACTATTTGCCATTGATATATTTATTCTCTATAGTATATCGCAATGCAAATTTAACATGATAATTGTGATAGAAGGTAGGCTAGTTTAATAATACTAAAAAGTCGCTTTTTAATAACAAAAATTTTCCTTACAAACTTCAAATTCAAATTCAGTTCTCTAAAACTATTTAGGAAAAGGCTGAATCTATATTCAGGAATCAATGAAAAGCTAAGGTACATTGTGGAAATCGAATCGTTTCCAAATAGCAACTATCTACAGAGCAACTTGTTTACTTTACAGTAGGTAGGGCAGGATGCATATATTAATTCTCTATATTCGTATTTAGTTGAAGATTTTTTTATGAAAGAAAGTATTGGATCATTAGGAGAAGCTCACGAAAGATAATTTTTAAAGAATCTCAATTCTATCAGTATGGTCTGAATGATTGAAGACTTTAATTAATGAAACAAACTATTTAACCAAATACAGATCAAAGGAGTTGGCCTGTGCATCCTTTCCTACCTACTGAAAAAAAAACCAGGCAAATTGATCAATATAAAACTGATCTATGAAAACGACTCAATTGTCGAATCTTAATTTGTGTTATCTAGTATTCGTATGTATGGACTCGAGTTTTCTTAAAATATTTTCGAAAAAAAACATAAATAGCGCGCATATTGAAAAAATAGCGAACAAATACGTTTGAAGAATTAACTATTGTTCGTTCTCTTTTCAATGATCTTTGATAAGAACTAAACAAAGTACCTGAAGTGAGACTGTCTCGATGTATGCGTGAGAGAGAGGCGAAGAGAGAGAGAGAAAAAAAATAGTAAACAACTATGATGAATCTTATGAATACTTGCATGGTACAATTTCTCATAGAAACAGCAGTAATATTAGTTTATATGCGATCCATTGCAATCCTGAAAGTAAATGGCGATAAAATTAAAAAAAAGATGTCATAATTCCAAAAGACGTTTGTTTCCCCTTCACAGAAAGCCACATAATAAATACTATGATAACCGTTTCAACTTGTTTATTCCAGTTTCATTGTACATTATTCTCATCAAATTATATAGAGAAATGTTTAACCAGATACCCTCATCTTTTAGCTAGTGCATGAGTTAGTTTCCCTTGATTACCTTTAGTTTGAATTGGATATTCTTCACAGTTTAAGAACAAAATTTCAGTAAATTATATGAAGAAACAACGAAATAAAAATCCGACGGATATATAATAAGTATGTAGGTGGGTTGGAGTGTGTAAGTGTGCATTTGAACCCGAGAGTAGGAAACTATCGCATTTGTATCTCACACTCTACCCACATCCTTACTTTTTCGTATGTTCAACAAAATATTTCTTATTTCTTCAAGGTCTTTTCTTCTAATATGTAGACTCACAATCACTAGTAAGTTACTGGTATTTTTAATTCAACTAACCAACAGGAATTTCTCATACAACAGTCAATAATTGGAATTTTTGTAATGCAATCAACGGAAAGTATATCTTCGAAAATTAAGCTGTGAAAAGCATTTATTGGCTT